TCCCCCCCCATCCCGCGCCTCCCTGGGGCGACGCCCGGGGCTGGCAGCAGGTTCTCCCTCGCCACGGTCTCTCTCGCCGCCCCCTCCCCCTGTCGGGGGCGGCCAAGAGGGGGGTGAGGACTAGGTGTGTGTGTGTGTGTGTGTGTGTGTGTGTGTGTGTGTGTGTGTGTGTGTGTGTGTGTGTGTTGTGTGTGTGTGTGTAGTGTGTGTGTGTGTGTGTAGTGTGTGTGTGTTGTGTGTGTTTGTGTGTGTGTTGTGTGTGTGTGTGTGTGTGTGTGGTGGTGTGTGTGTGTGTGTGTTGTGTGTGTGTGTGTGTTGTGTGTGTGTGTGTGTTGTGTGTGTGTTGGTGTGTGTGGTGTGGTGTGTGTGTGTGCGTGCGTGCGTTGCTGCGTGCTGCTGCGTGCGTGCCGTGCGTGCGTGCGTCGTGCGTGCGTGCGTGCGGCGTCGGCGTGCGTGCGGCGTGCGTGCGTCGTGCGTGCTGCGTGCTGCGTGCGTGCGTGCCTGCGTGCGTGCGTGCGTGCCGGCGTGCGTGCGTGCGTGCGTGCGTGCGTCGTGGGTGGTGGGTGGTGGGGGTGGGTGGTGGGTGGGTGGGTGGTGGGTGGGTTGGGTGGGTGGGGGGGGGGGCTGCGTGCGTGCGGTCGTGCGTGCGTGCGTGCGTGCGTGCGTGCGTGCGTTGCGTGTGCTTGTGCGTGTGCTGGCGTGTCGTTGTGCGTGTGGCGTGTCGGTGCGTTGCGTGGGGCGTGTCGTGTGCGTGTGCGTGTGCGTGTGCGTGTGCGTGTGCTGTGCGTGTGGGTGCGTCTGTGCGTGTGCGTGTTGCTGTGGTGTGCGTGTGCGTGTGCGTGTGCGATGTGCGTGTGCGTGTGCGTGTGCGTGTGCGTGTGCTGGTGCGTGTGCGTGTGCTCGTGCGTGGTTGCGGTGCGTGTGCTGTGCGTGTGCGTTGCGTGTGCGTTGCGTGTCGTGTGCTGTCCGTGTGCGGTGGCGTGTGCGTGTGTGGTGTGTGTGGTGTGTGTCTGTGTGGTGTGTTGTGTGGGTGTGTTGTGTGGTGTGGGTGTGTGTGGGTGTGTGTGTGTGTTGTGTGTGTGTGTGTGTGTGGCGGGCTGCGTGCGTGCGTGCGTGCGTGCGTGCGTGCGTGCGTGCGTGCGTGCGTGCGTGCGTGCGTGCGTGCGTGCGTGCGTGTGTGCGTGTGTGCGTGCGCGCGTGCGTGCGTGCGGGTGCGTGCGTGCGCGCGTGCGTGCGTGCGTGCGTGCGTGCGTGCGCGCGTGCGCGCGTGTGTGTGTGGATATCATGACGGGGGCCATGATATCTCCCCACATTGCATGGCGCCTCTTCTTCTTTCAATGCGTCCCCGGCCACCCCCCTGGGCCGCGCACATGCCGCCGGCCATGATTTGTCCCCCCCCCTCTTGGACGCCCCCCTCTTGGTCGCCAATCGAGGAGTTCTGATGTTGCAATTTGCTCCTCCAAACCCGAAGGAAGCGGCTTACATCGGCGGCGAGCGAGGGGGGAGGTGAGAAGGAGAAGGCCTTCTCAGAAGGCGGCGGGACTTCTCAGAAGCCCTCGCGACTTCCGAGACGTTTTGTTGTCTTCTGGGAAGGCTTCGAAAACTTCTCAGAAGGCCAGGGGACTTCCGAGCCTTCTCAGAAGGCCCGCCCCGTCTCACTTTCCCCCCGCGCTCGCCGCCGAATGTGGGCCTAATGTATGATGTTCCGACCTGCTTTAGCCTTGATCACCAGCAAGAATCTCGAGCACCAGCAAAGCACGGAAATTGGAGGATTCTCGCGTGTCGGGCCTTGGGAGGCGATTGCTTTTCCACAGTTTGCCAGTGTGTGTGTGTGTGTGTTGCTCGAACTGCTGTCTGGCATGAGGTCCTGAGGTGCGATGGGAACAACATAGTCGAAAAACTGATAATGGTACAAACACACGTTCTTAGCTCATCGCCTCGGGTGCCGCGCCAGGGAGAGGGGCCCAGAGCAGACTCACGAGACATCCGCGCAGAGCTCCGAAAGCTTTATGGTCATGCAGTCTTCTTTCCAAGGGCGCCCTCGAGGGCGGGAAGTTATTCGCGCTTCGCGGTTCGGCTCCGATTCCTCATCCTCCGCTCCTCCCCTGGGAGGCGGCGCGAGAGCGCGAAGGTGGGAGCCCCTATCTCTCCAGCAGAGGTCATCCTCCTCTCCTCCCCTGGGCGGCGGCGCGAGAGCGCGAAGGTGGGAGCCCCTACCTCTCCATCAGAGGCGGGGCTGTCGGCACGGAGGCAAGCCCCAGGCCTCCGTGCCCTCGAGTGGCGTCCTGCCCTCGACGGCGGCCTACTTTTCCTCCCAGCGTGGGGCCCCCTTGGGACCACCCGCGATGGATCCGTGACGCCACGCCGGGCCTGGGGAAGTGCTCGAGACTCAGGAGGGGAAAAAACACACAGACAAAATGAATCGTCCACTCCCAGGAAAATCGGAGGTTGGGGGGTGAGATCGAAGTGGAACGGAGAGCCCCCCTACCGGGAAATCGATTTCGGTTTCGTGTTCGTGCGTGCCGTGCGGGCGAGGCGAAGCTGCGTGGGCGGGCGAGAGAAAGTCTCCTGTGGCTGAGGCGCGGCCGGACCAAATGACTCCCTTCCGGGCGGCCGGTGGCCCGCGGTATCCCGCCGGTGTCCACTGGTGCCCCGCTGGTGTCCCGTGTGGCTGAGGCGCGGCCGGACCAAATGACTCCCTTCTGGGCGGCCGGGTGCCCGCGGTGTCCCGCCGGTGTCCCGCTGGTGTCCCGTGTGGCTGAGGCGCGGCCGGACGAAATGATTCCCTTCCGGGCGGCCGGGGCGGCGCGGTGTCCCGCCGGTGTTCCGCCGGTGTCCCGTCCGTGTCCCGTCGGTGTCCCGATGATGATGTTGATGATGATTATGATGATGATTATGATGCTGATGGTGATGATGATGATGGTGATAATGATGATGATGATGTTGATGATGGCGATGATGATGATGATGATGATGATGATGATGATGATGATGATGATGATGATGATGATGATGTTGATGTTGATGTTGATGATGATGATGATGATGATCATGACGTCGAAAGCGAGATCGATTATGATGTCGGTAGTGAGACCGAATGTGAGATCGATTGTGCGATGCTGATGGTGATGATGGCCTTCATGGTGTTGATGTTTGTGATTATGATGACGACATTGATGATTATGATGATGATGATGATGATGATGATGATGGTGATGCTGATGATCATGATGAATACGATGATGATGCTGATGATGATGATGATGTTGATGGTGATGTCGATGATGATGATGATGATGATGATGATGATGATGATGATGATGATGATGATGATGACGACGTGGATAGTGATATCGATTGTGAGATCGGTAGTGAGACCGAATGAGACAGCGAATGAGGTCTTCTCTCAGGTCCTCCCCCCCAACCTCCTTATCACCCGCAGGATGGTCGTATAGGTATTGGGAAATATGGGAAGTGGGGGGGAAGACAAAAACTCAAAAAAGAAACAATTGGAAAATATGGGGGACCATTTTATTTGTGTGTATTTATGTGTGTGTGTGTCCTGGGGCCCCTTCAGAGACCCAGACCCCCTCGGCCTATGACAAAATCATGACCGGAAGGTTTTTGCTGTTTCCGGCTTGTGGGGGCCCTTATACCGGCCCTCGGGACCGTCAAGAAACGACTCAGGATGGAAAGCCGGTCCAGGGGAAGGGGTCGAGACCTCCAGGGGTCGACGTCATGAAATAGTCATGACGTCGGGGGCTGGGGGACCCCTTGGTCGGCGGGGAGCCCCGGGGGGGGAGGGAGTGAGGGGGCGGGCCCTCTCAGAAGGCTCGGGAGTCCCCCGGCCTCCGGAGAAGTGTCCTGAGCCTCCCCCCAAGGACAGCGAGCGCTTCTCGGAAGGCCCGGCGGCTCCGGAGAAGCCCCGCCGCCTTCTGAGAGGGCCTTCTCTAGGGGAACAGAAAGTGGCATAAACATAAAAACTCGGAGGTCCGCGCGGATTTCTCGGATCGGTGCTGGACCCCGCGCGCCAGGGGCGGCGCCGGAGGCGCCGCCGGGGGGCCCAGCGCCGATCCGAGAAATCCGCGCGGACCTCCAAGTTTTTATGTTCATGTCACTTTTTGTTCCCCTATTCTCCCCCTCACTTCCCCCCCTTCGCTCGCCGCCGCGGAAGGAAGGATCCGTGTCGTCCGACGTCTGGGAGCGTGTCCTGCGGAGGCGGGCTTTCCGGGCTCTTCGCTGGCCTCGGGCTCCTGGGCGCCCCCTGGGCCCTGGGGTCCTCGGGCAATCGCTCGGGATGCAACGTTTGTCCCAGGGGGGAGGCCCCAGACTCCAGGACCCGCTTGCCTCGTTCCAAGATTCGGGCCGGACAAAAGGGGGGGGATTGGGAAAAGGAGGGTCACGAAATCTGCTGCATGCAGCTGGTTTCGGCCACGCCGCCGGGCCCATTCCTCACTACATAGCCGCCTCTGGCGCCGGGAGGCGTCGGGAAAATCAGCTACGTGAGCTGATTCTCAAGTACCCCCTTTGCTATCCCCCCCTCTCGCCCGGCCCAATATTGGCGACGGGTCCCGTTTCCATGGGAAATCGCGGGTTTCAGCCGCCGAACGAGGCGGCACCGGCCGCATTTTGGGGAGGGCACCTCCCCGGATACATGGATTTGGCGGCCGCGCGCCAAGTCCATGGATCGCTAATCCATATTTGCGCGCCCCCGAGCTTCGTGCCAAGATTGTCGCGGCAGATCACGTGACGAGCTTATCTTCGCAACGCGCGGCGGCGGATTCCGACAGGCGAGCGCCGCTCGTTGTCGTAACTTGGCTCTCGCGAGGAAAATGGCTCGTCGCAGGCCCGACCACGTTGCGATCGCTGCGCCATGCAGTAGGGCGGTGTTTCCGTTCTGCAGCTGCATATCTTCTTGGTTCCATCACTCTCAGACGCCCGGCGCAGAGGTTAGCGGCAGGTCTGGAGGCGGTTGGCCTTCGCTCATTTCTCGCAGCCCC